TGAGAAAAATGTGGCTAAGGTTTTTTCCAATATATTCCTTCAAGAAGAGCACAGAGAAAAAAAATACAAAAAGTTAGCCAATGTGCTGATTTTGTCCGTATTTTCCTGGTGGATGGATTCCTAGAAGACTTTATAAATACACTCTGTACAGAAGCAGAAGTTTGTGCTGGAAAAATAATTTAGACATGTTCTATGCTGGCAGCTTTTAGGCAATCTACTGCAAATGTGAATCAGTGAACATACACACCTGGGGTCATGGTGCTGGTGCAAATGTGATGTGTTCTTATTGATTGAGGAGAAGGGGCCACTGCCTTGATTTTATCAGTGGACAGATGCATCCAAAGTTATTCTATATTCATTAATTTTGATGGCTATGTGTGTTACCATTAATTTATAGAAAACTCCTCAATAAGCTGTTGTTGCCATTTCTTGAAAAGCATTTGGCTTTCCTGGGAAGATATTTGGGTCAGTAGTATGTGACTGTTCAATTTATATTGTATTTATCTCCAAAAACATAATATGCTGGAGACTACAGGTACCTAGTTTGGTAAAAAAAAAATAATCTATGAGTGATAACACTTGACTTGCATTTCCTTGTTCCATATTAAGTGTTCCAGCATTCACGTTTATTTTTACATTTCCTTTTGCTATTGTTTCTGAACTTGAATATACGGTGCTGAGAAGTTGAGGTGACAACTTTCCTGACTGGATTTTCTCATAAGTCACTAGATGGTGCCATTTCTCTTCTCTGGAATCAGAAACTCTTACATACCAGTTTTAGTAATAGTTATTATGCTCTTAAGAGAAAATAAAATAATTGGACCTTCAGCTTATTTTTTTTTCAAACTATTGCTGTTTTCTGAGACTGTTCAGTATTTCTTTGCTGAAAAGGTTATCAAACATGGGCACAGGCTGTCCAGGGTGATGGTTGAATCACCATCCTTGGAGGTGTTTAAAAGACTGTAGATGTGGTGCTTTGGAACAGGGTTTAGCACCAGACTCAGTAGAGTTGGGTTAGTGGTTGGACTGGATTATTTTAAAGGTCTTTTCTGATAAAAATGATTCTATTAATATATATATTTTTTGCTCAAATAAAACTAATGCATTAATGAAAATGTACAAGATTTCCAAGTTGACCCAAGACTGGGTTTTTGAAAAACTCTGATTTCCTTAAAATGGCACCCCTTCTTTTCACCTCCCCAGATGTTTTGACACCAACCATCTCCTCTCACGTAAAGAACTCTGGGTGCTACATAGATAGCTGCTACTTGGTTGAGCTGTCTTTATTTTTGCAGGCTTCCCTGCATCCTCACAACGAGGGTAGCATACAGCCATCCTTTACTACCCTCATCCTCGTGAGGTCTTAGACTTTCTTCACAGAAGGTGGCTCCCTTCAAAATCTGAAATGCTGCTTGTTATGCAGGGACAGTGACTTCCTTTTAGCTCCGTAGCATGCCAGATAGTGTCTGACATCCTCTGTAACACCTCTACACATCATTTAGAGCAACTGATGCCTTCTTGAATTTTGGGGGAGGGAAAAAATACTTGTTTACAACATAACTTGCCTTTTGTTAGGCAGCTGTGTGAAAGGCAGAATTCCAACCTCCTCATGGATACCACACATCTGAGAACTTAATAGTTCAGTTGGAGCTTTCTGCAATAATGAGACAAATGATTCAGTATTAAATGTATGTGTTTAACTATGGGTAACAGATTTAAAGTTGAGGACTAGGTCTTAAAACTTAGATGAGAATTAATCTTGCTACAGAATTAATTAAAATAACATTTTACTTCAACACAGGAGCTTTGCAATAACAAAACCAGCTCCACTTCCACTATTTTAGCTGGAGTAAAGAAGGCTTTTGTTTTGGTGTGGGTGGTTTTGTTTGTTTGTTTGTTTGTTTGGTGGGTTTTTTTTGTTTTTGGTGTGGGTGGTTTTGTTTGTTTGTTTGGTTGGTGGGTTTTTTTTGGTTTTTTAAGGTTTCTGTACTTAATATGCTTTCTCCAGAAGTTAAAATTTGCTTTTGCTGAGCATTAACTTTTACATGTATGTGTTAAAAGTAATCCTTTGGGGTTTGGTTTCACACATTAGATATGATACATGCAAAACATGTTGTGACTAAATGCTTCCTGAGCAAATTTTGTAATACATTTAGTTGTGCAAGATGTGTTGTACCCCTGCACTGTTTTCAGTGGAGCAAATGTGAAAATATTTCTCATGATCTTACTGTGCACACCTTTAAGCTGAGCAGTGTGACTGGTCAGCCAGTTCAGGCAATGTTGTACCAAGCTGACTTAAGACTTTGTTATATAAACTATGATGGGGTGCTCTGAAGTGAGTTCTTCTTTCTGAAGAAAAAAAAAGAAAACCTGGTAGCTGCTGTTTAGATAACCTCTTCCTGAGAGGAGAAACTCGACTGAACCAGGAAGTAAGGCAGACAATGCAGCACCTCTGTCAGGGCATTCAGATTTGCTTATCCAAAGGGAATACTCTTGAGTTTGGACTTGAGGTTATTTAGTCACACTATAGGTGTAACACAAAGGAATGGGTTTCCTTATAACAGAAAGAAATGGAAGGAGAGTGAGCTCTGCACCCCTTGTGGCATCTAACTCTCACTTATTTTCTGGTTTAGATTATTTAGGCTTTGCTTCTGCTATTGGAGCCTCAAAAATGGGTCCTTCCATTTAAAAAGGATTGAATTGTGATTTTTATAACTTGATTTAATTTATTATGGTAGTGCATTAACTAAATCAGTCTTTCTGATAGTGTTTGATTTTTCAGGACATCTGAAATGTTGTGTATGTAAGAACAACAAAATAAATGTCCTAGAAAGTGTTTAAAAATGTGATATTTTAATAGGTTTATTAAATTACAGTGGCTAAAGAGCCCAGAAAATGTATGGGTTTAGATTCTGTCGGCTCAGGGACCACTGGCAGTGCAAACTAGTAATACAGTATTAATACAAACAAAAATTCCCATGTGCTTGCATTTTTAAAGGCAGCATGGATTTCACAGGAGGTCTCCATGCCAAGTAGAGGGTGTTATGAGTGGGAGTGGCAGGAATATTTGTGTGCATCCTTCTTTAGTTTGTTCTTTTGCTTAAGAATTAGTTCTGAAAGAGATTTTTCTTTTTTGCCTGATGTGTAATTGTAATATGTTTTCTTTGCTAGTAATGTAAGACTTGTCCTCACAGTAAGAATATAGTACTTGGCTGAGATGCTTATGCTTCTTTTTACAGATGCCAAAGGTGTTGCATGCAAAAGAGAGATTGATTCATGTTTCTAATCAGCTGATCTGGAAACTAAAATCCTAATTAAAATCTTACTATTCTAGAAGAAATAAGAGAAATCTGTGGAACGTCATAAAAAATTATCTATTCTTCTCTTTAGACACCTGTATTCAAAGAGTAAGTAATATTCCTCATAGCACACAAATGCAGCATTTAAAGTTATTTCTAACATTTCAGCAATATGATGTTTATGTGAGATAAAAATGCTGGCAAATGCAGTGTACTTAGTTGTAAGATTATGCTCCTAAATTTAATGCACCATGTACAAAGTATCAATAAGTTATTTCTCCTTTCACTCAAAAGCTTGTTTTTGACACTAAACAGTTTTTCTGGGGATGGAAGGAGAAGAATCTAAGACATAAGAATGCATCTGCCATCTTTAAAGGAGAAAACACATGCAATAGCAATTTATTTATTTAAAATCACGAATGTGGTGGTGGTGCTACTGAATGCAAACCAGAGACAAGTGTAAAGTTCAGACTGGAATTTCCCCGTAGTGTTTAGCAGCATTCAGACCTGAAGTTATTTTAGGTATAAGCCTGTGCTAAGTCACTTCCTGCCTGTACACTGAAATACAAGCACTTCAAACTGTCGCTTTATATGTCAAAGTGAAGAGGAATCCTGTGTACATCTGGGGCTGGGCTATCTCAGCCCTGTGCTTCCTGAAGTCAATGACATTTCTAATTGTCTTCAGTTAAATGAATAGAGAGTTAAGCTTGTGCTTCCCACTTTCAACAATGCATAATGAGACTCAAAAGAGTATCTAGCTTTTGAGATTAGAAAAAATAATCTTTATTACTTTCTAATAAATTACTAAATTCAGATAAATACATCAGCAAAACCATCTACTGTATAATTGCAGTTATAAAATTAATCTGTAAAATTACTATATAATTAATCAAGATTTCATGATTAAATGGCAAGTCTGCTTAAAAGTAGCAGCAACAGCAGTATTTGCACATCATTCATACACACACTATAAATAAGAGCAGTATAATAAGACAAGATGCTTCTCTCATGCCAGTGACAGACAGAGGCTGACCTCCGTAACAGATTTGTGAGGCTGTGTAATAACTGGAAAGTGAGCTGTTCCTCTAGCAGTAGAGTTTTTTTCAGCACTAAGTTCCTGGGTTTGAATCCCATTAACAACACATGTGGTTCTCATTGCATTTACACTTGTCTTTTCCTCTAGTATTTCTCTTACAAAGCCACTGGTGAATGTCCTAGCATCATTTTGCCGTGGTTTTATAAACTATATCCACTAAACAGCCTAGTAGAAATTCTGATCTCAAATACACGTTGCCTTTTTGTCTTGTTTATATTCATGGTGCTAAAACCAGCACCTTGATTTAGCAGGTAAGGGTGCATATAGTTTGAGTGTCTTCAGATTTGAATACCTATGGGAAAATCTGTGCTAAACAAACCATAAAATTGGAATTTAGGATTAACTGTAAAATCAATTAAAAGACCTAGACTCAGTAAGCAGCAAACATGAAAAGAATGTGGTGAGGAATTCAGTTCAGGAGTATTCAGATTGTATTGCCCTGGAAAACAAGAGAACAGGGCTACAGAAAACTTTTGGCTATTTTGTTGGGTTTTTTTAGGACATTCTTGAGGCTTATAATTAGCCAAGAGCAAGAGGTGTGTTCCACCAATGCAAAATAAATCAGTGCTATCAATGAGAAGGTGCTTTTGTGGTAGAGCAGGGTATCAAAGTTTGGAGATGTCTTCCTCCTCCTCCTTGTATGTGCCTGGTTTGTAGATGACTCCTCTCTTGTCTTTGCCTCCCTTTTTGCAGCTAAAAGAAAACAAATGTATTAAATAATTGCAATTCCAGTGAAGGAAAAGCACCACTGGTTACTTAAAATGGTCCATTATGCATGTAAGAGAGAATTTTTCTCTGTATTATTGGAAATGTCACAGTAGCTTATTGTTACAAGTTTCAGGAGAACACATTCTGTGTGGCAGAGTCAACACTGATTGCAAAGGGATCTGGCTGTAGGAAGGTTTGTAATCTTAGGGTTTTTTTTCCCAGAATTAGGCTTTGGTGGCAAGCAATCTGGCTAAATGCTCCTGTCAGGACAGATTTCTTCCCCTTAAATGATGTCTTTGGGATAGGTAACAGGAGAAATAACATCTGCAGTTACAAATCAAGGTTTATAGGAAGAGATGGTATATTATAAAAGATCAAACACTACCACTATAAAAAATGTCCAAGGTTTCAGACTCATAAGCACTTCTTTGTGTCAGAAGAAATAAATGGTTTGACTTCTTTTCCTATGATGTGGCAGCTGGACACATTACCTTTTCCTCTTCAGTAGGCAGAAGGCTAGAGCAAGAATGATGAGAACTCCCAGAATGCAGGCTACGACAACAGAAACAACAAAACCTAGGAGAAGAGGGGAAGCATACAAACCAGTTAATGCAATTTACTTTAGAGGAGAAGGTTAGTCTCTAATCTGTCAAAACGTTTGCATTCTGCATCTGCAAATTTTCTACAGCTTGGTCATAGCACTTTGCAATTATGGAATGGTTAACTTTGCATAACGTGTACTGGGATAGCCTGATCCCACAGCTGGATCCACAGTTCACAGTGTTGTGAATTTAGACACCTGCTGAAGTCACAAAGCCAACATATAGGCACAGCAGGTCAGAAACTCATTGGACTTCAATGCTATGAGAGCAAAAGCAAAACCGAAGAACTAAATACATGCAAATAAAGATATTAAATTTAATGTGTTGGTTTTTTTTTTAAGGCAGAAGAACACCATTGAATGTGGACAGCTGAAGAGTGAAATGCTTTGCTATTGAGAATGTTACTTAAAGGCATCTAGGGAGGTAAGAATGAATTCAGGATATTAGTATGAAGATGAGATGCTAAGCATCATTATAATGCCATCTTTGATAATAACCTTCATATGTATTTTTAGCATTAAATTGTTTTTATTTTGGCCTTCCCAAAGATCCTGAAGGTGAGCACTCTTCTTAACTGCATTTTTATAATTTGTTTACACTTTTTTTTTTCCATTTTATCAAATGACTGTTTCTCTCTAAGCAACACCAGAACCCTTTCAGAGTGAAGCTGACAGGTTTAACATATGCCATCTCAATACTTCCTCTTATTAAAGCAGCTGTTGAGGAAACAGAAATGTAAAACCTGGAGCTTAACCTTATCTCATTTAACCCATTAGATGCTTTATTAGTTTTAAGTCCAACTGAATTGAAGAAGTTTGCAATCCATGGGGCTGAAGAAAAACTGCATTTTAAAGAAGGGAAATGTTACAGTAAAGGTGCATCAAATGGACAACAATGTTAACACCACATAGATAATTGTAGGAAAAGAGCTTGTAGTTTGAAGAGAAGGGGAGTGGGCATTTCTGTTTGATAAGAAGTCCTTCTTGCAAAATTTAATTAGTATTTCAGCATGGGGCTTTAATCAAAACTAGACACCAATTCCTGTTTAACTTGTGGCAGTGAAAGGTTTGAACATGGTAATAAATTTCAGCTGCATGAATGTGAAGCTGATTTTAGTGGAATAGATTGCTGGCAAGCAAAATACATTATAAACGTGTTTGAGTTTTGGCGAATAATGCTCTAAGATTAGAGAGATTTTGAAATGCAGTACTTGTTAATAGTGAGCATGAATTTAGACTTTAATTATTGGCATCAACTTTAATTTAATGACTTTAATTATTGGGTGACAGAACACGTCATTTGCCTTTTCGATACAAAACACAGTTTAGTGGCCCCATCTTGTGGCGGCTGTGCTCGGTGAGGATGGCAGCCTTCGGTTTTGACACTGAAAAAGCATAAAAGCACCTCTGAAACCCTTTAGGTTTGCTTTAGGGTGTGCACAACAGGATTTCTTTCACAGATTTCTGTGGTTGCCTGGCCCAAGACGTAATTCTCTACATGGCCTCTCCTTCCCTTCTTAATAAGTGTGCTCTGTTCCTACCTGTGGTGCAGGTGGCATCAGGCTGAGCAATTGCAGCCAGCAATCAGGTGCACTTTAATTGTCCTTTGTCAGGAACCTTTTTAGTTCTCCTTTTTGTAGTTTTTTTTTTTTCCTCTTGAGGTGAGGTGCTGCACCTGTGAGGGAGCCTTTGTGACCGTAGTAGGTGGAATGTGAAATTACAGGGGTGATGAATACCTTTTTAAAAATGGTTAGTACATTTTTCTATGGTTCACTAATGTTGTAATTAAATGTACTTAGACTGAATGGGGTTTCTATTAAAGTAGAACTGAGCAATGCCTCTTGTAGCCATAGAGACCAGTTCTTGGGTGAGAACAGCAGGATAGGCAATAAGCAATACAATTCAGCTCTGGTAAGTTATGCCAACTTAAAAGATACATTGAAAATGCTTTTATAGCTGGTGTCAGCTCTGCAGGGGAGCTAAACAATGTGACTTAGTAGAGGGGAGAGCCAAATGTTATTCTTGGGTTTGACTCTGGTTCACAGCAACATTTTTGAAATAGTCACATCTGGGTCAAATTTTCCCCCATGGATGGAAATAACAGTGCTTACATTATTTCTGTGAAGTGTTTAGAGATTCCTGGATGGAACGCACAGTACCTGATTTTCAGTTACTGGCATCATGGATTGTAACTCTCTACCTTTTAAAGTACTGAGTGTGATTTACATGGAATCACAGAATCACGTAATGGTTTGTGTTGGAAGGGACCTGACAGATCATCTAGTTCCAACCTGCATGGTTGGAACCATGGGCAAAAACATCTCCCACTAGACTAGAACACAGAGAGATGGCAGTCAGCTGGTGAAATATCAGCTTAAGAAACAGATAGAAAATTGCGTTTCTGATTTCTGACTGACCAGTCTAACTCAGAAAATCACTGGCTCATAGATGTGGTTATCAATCAGCAACATACCCTTGCCAAGTCCACCAGGTATTGAATCTTGACAAATTGTGACGTTAGAAGAACTAAGCATTGGATCTCTAGAATTCCATGGGGAACCAGTCTTAAACATAAGGTATCTGCTAGCTTCAGAACTTCTGTTGCTTCAGAAGTGTTCCTGCAGTGGCATGGATAAAGTAGATTGTGCATGGTTTTAAGACCCTGCAGAGGAAGCCTTACTGTCTCAGAAACCTGGGAGCTGTCTTGCAAATCCTGATTCTGTGGTTTAAAATCATTGTACATAAGCTTGTTTCAGCAGACATGTAAAGGGAATTAGTAAAATAGCCATTTTGGACTCAACTAGTTCTCTAGGTGGCAGCTAGTGTTTGAGATTGGAGATTTAGGAAGAAAGTTTTAACCCTCTTCCTGATCATGTAAGAGTGCCACGAGGGAAAGGAGCATTTCTAGTTGGTCACGTAACAAAAGAATAAAAAGGACTGACATACTCTAGTTCTTTCTCTTTTTCAGTGTTTAGCCAACTTATAGTTTACTCAAAATATTGTTTATGTAACTAATACCAGTTTGTATATTAAACATGGGGTATTAAGGATTATTGATGATTTGGTAAACTTGAAATTTTCTTCTATGTTTTGGTTAGAATCTAGCAACAAGAGAGAACTTCTAGTGTAATTTTAATTTTAAAATTAGATTGTTGTGGCATTCTTCTATAATCATTGTACTCTGCAAGTGGTAGCATAGACACTTTGTAAGAGGCATTAAGATAGAATATTATGACTATGGCTTCATATAGTATACAATGAGAAATCAAGGCACAGAACCAGCATGACTTGTGTGTGCCCTACATGTGAGTTCTATGTAGTCACATAAAGAATTCTGTCTAATGCAGCGTTTAATAGTCAAGAAACAAGGTTTCTGCTTGTTACCAACATAATACAAACAAATCAATTTTCTTATGAATTGAAAGGGAGGTTGCTCTGTTACTTACTCTTGACTCTGAAGCAGTAAGATTAAGGCTAATGCTTACTGCAGAGAACAGGGCTCTCAGAGACTCTTCATGCTTAGCAGAAAGGTATTATTGATCCTTCAGAAAGGGAAAAATCTTATTTTTTGTTAACATGTGAGCTATGCAGAGTAATGCAATTCTTGGTAACCAACAGTACTCAGTATTTGTTTTAGTCTGACCTTGAAACTGAGCTCCTAACTATAAACAATTTAAAATGAGAAAACAGGCAATTGAACAGCATAACTTCACTCAGCAGAAATTCAAGAGCAGAAATTTTAGCTTTAAATAGAAGAAAGATATAACAAAACTAAACTAGTTTAGACTTAAATATTTAACTATATGCTGCCAGCAGTTGGAAATATGGTAAGATACCTTTGACAGCAAATCAGGGCCAAACTCTGCTGATGCTCCGTAATGCTCTGGTTGGGAGTTTCAGTGCAGCTAATCTGACAAAAAGACCAGCCAAGTTTTGGTCACAAATTTATATAATCTTTGATTTCAGATAAACGTTTTGTCTAGGATTTTTCTCGGATGATCTCTAGTTTACACTTTTCTCCTTTATATCTTTATATTAGAAAAGATACATTATGAAAGAGGCTGTCTGCAGAGGGGAATGGCAGGAACAGCTACTGCAGGGAGAACTGTTCCCTGCAGTGGTTATTGTGTGAAATTTCCAAATATAGACAACTCCTGTGTTCCCCTTTCTTTAATCTAAATAGTGAAGAAACTAGCAGGCAGAGTTGAAATGATGTGCTAACATGTTTTATTAATTTGAAAGTTTACTCCTTTGCCAATATTTTTTGTGGTCTGCTTTGTCTTTTAAAAATCTTTTACTCTCAGTTTCAAATAGTGTAGTGGCTTGCCTAGATTCATATGCCTTCCCTGTATGTGCCAGCTTCACAGCTGCTTAAGAGTATTTGTTTGCAAGACAGCACAAAAGCTGGAACAATACATTTTGCACAAACAGTGTACTCAAATGCTTTATTGTAGGGCACAGCTAAGCTTCTCATCACAGATGCAGGTTTTTCTGCAAAAACTGCCCCCCCCAACCTATTGTCATTGTGTAACACTACGAAGCTTTTAAATCAGTTCATCCTCCTAAGTTGGCTTTTTTTTTTTCTCTTGTAACAGTGAATCTTACAATCCAGTGTTATGAATTATTTTTATTTGTCAAATTTGAATTTGTCAAGAATATCTTATGACTCTAGGTAATTTCCCAAAAACAGTCTCCCTAAAAGGCAAAGTTGTGATTCCCTTTAAATGTGTGGTCTGCATAAAAATAATTCTGATGTTGCTGACACTTGGCAAATGTCACTAGTAAGACAAGACCAGCTCAAGTACTTTCACTGACTGAAACAGCTCAGCTGTAGACAACTGTTTGGAGTGGCAGCAAATATTTCTGCTAAGCATGACAAGGCCAAACATGTCTTCCTTGTTTTATCTTCTTGCCTTTGATCAGAAGGGTTGCAGGGCTTGGCTGATACCCATTGTGGAAAAAAACTTCTTATATACTCTTTGAATACCTTATTCTCATACAGTTGCCCGTGCAACAGTGCAGTAAGAGAAGACAAGGAAACAGAGTGAACTGTAGGAAAATAAGACTGCTATTTATTTGTAGTGCAGCAGGACTGCCCCTTCAGTATTTCAAGTTTACACAAGTCACTGTGCACTGTTCCTTTGCATAGAAGCTTTCATGCAGCTTACCTTCACGGAAGGAGATAAAAACTAGTCTTTCATGAAACTCTTGAATGTTTCGAAAGTTATCGACCATTTCCAGGGGTTCTGGGTCATCACTTTCTGTGCAATACATGGCTGTTTCCAGTGCCAGTAACTATAAAGAGAAGCACCCTGTTCAGCTCCCAGAATACAGGAAAAGCACATCTAAGTCTGTCAGAATCAAAGTAGCACTAAAATACTTAGTGAATAAGGTTGACTGAACAAAAATGATCTGGAAGTGACTCATAAAAAACTCAAAGTAGGGAGTAAGTACATAGTGAAAACAGAAATAGTCTCACTTGACTGTGATTTTTTAAGCTGATACTATGCCAGTTGCTATGCAGTTGCCTGTTCTTCATTTATTCTGGTCAACTGAAAAAATGCTGACCACAAACAGAATAGGATGTGGATTTCTGTTGGTTCTGTACTGTTCTTCCCACTTGAAGGGTTATAGCAATAGTCATCTTTCAGTGTTATAGGAATGTAAGAGAAATCCAGGAAATGAGAAAATGCATTTAGTGTTGTCTATCAGACACCGCTCAGAAAAGCACGGGCTGTCTTTAAACTTGCCTGTTCTTGTGAAATTTTAACGGGGTGTCGGAAGACTGTCCAGAGAACACTAGGGTAGCAAGGAGGAGTGGTCAGGGATCCTTCGTAGCGATAGTACTCATCCAGTCTGCTGGGCAGCAGTTCTCCAATGTTGAAACCCGGGACTTGGACCACCTGATCTAAAATAGGGGATTCATGTTAGATGCTGCATCATTACTGCACAGGTAGTGAAGTGAATCTGCTTTTCGGTAAGTATGATGCTTTCAGTCATACCACTAGAAAAAGAAAAATTTTAACAGAGATTATCCCAGTTTAATAAGGAATACAGCTTTTTAGGTTTCCTAGGTACAAATCCTGCCTTAGATCAGAATTCTGTAAGTTAAGCTGTGGCCATATTGACCAGAAAACACCATGTGCAAGAAACAGGGCCCAGATGTGAAATACGTAGTGCACGCTGGCCGTACTCTCTCACAGAAAGGCCCTGCATTTGTAAGTCTTTCACACTTCCAGACAGGTTTGCCTGGGACTTCTGGACTGATTCAGTCCCTTTCAGGTGACATCTGATATTCTCAGCCATTCTCAATCCAGTGCAGGCTTGTAGCCACTCACCCTTGTATTTCACATTCCGGAAGTGCCTGAAGATCTTGTCATAGGATGGATTGAAGGGTCCAATCTGTAATAAGGAGACTATTAAGAACTGTGCAAACCACTGTAGGCTGAATATGAGTCTTTGATTCTGCACACAGCAGACAGTGTTATCAGGCAAGTGTCTCCACTGCCCACATATTCATATATTAGAATGGCATAAGAATTTTTTACTAAAAACATAACACTATCCTCAGAGCCCCTGAAATGCTCTTACTTCAGTGCTGTTGGAGGTACTTTGTCATAATGCTGTCTTAACAGCTGCAGCATAGACCTCCTGTGTGCACTTGAAAGGCCTTATAGCCCTTGCCTGTTAAGCATGCTGTGCAAATGAAAGGAGTCCATTTTCCCTGAGAACATTGCAGGCATAAGTTCCCAACTGACTGGCTTCTCAGATCATCTACTAATTTCTAGTCAAAGCCACATTTTTCCAGCCACAAGTATTTTTTTTAGTCTGCTGCTTCTCACAGTCCAGAAAGATAAAGAATGACACTGTTGGGTACTGCAAGGCCACTGGCAAGGGCTATAACTCAACCTTCTGGCAAGGGCTGTAACTCAATTATCAATTAAGACCATGTTTTTCAACTCTTAACCAGCAGCTTTTAAGTCTAATAATCAATGCCTTTTTTATTAATTCTTTAGAGCTGCTGCTTAGCAGCTCCTCTGACAACTAGACATGGTAAACTGGTGTCCTTAGATCAACTGTAATAGCCACCAGCTGTCTAAAAGTTTTTCAAAGACCTAATCTCTATTGTTCCTTTATTTGATTTTTAAACACCATCTTTTAGAAATAACCAGAATCCCAGTATTATTTCCTAGCATTATGTGCAATACTCTGACACTTTTCACAGCTTCAACTTCCAAATAAACTGAAATTTAACACAAAAATATTCTCAAAGTCTTAGAGCTGCCAAGAAGTGAGCTTGGATAATATTAATGAGAATTAGAACTTTGCCTGCTAACTAGAAAGTTGTCACTTTTTTGATGGAAATGAGAAAACCTGGGCATTTTCAGTTTTTTTTCTGCTGCATAAAATTCTCATATTTAAAAATCATCTTTATGGTTATCATATTGAGGAGTTTTAATCCTCAAGAAAAATGAGAAATGTATGTGCAAGCTTCTACAATTTGTTTGTATCCGATCATTATTATCTTTAATTGCTTGTGTGTGGGGCTGTCCTTCTGTCATCTTAAAAGGGCACTAAATTTACTTGTTTACTGTAATCTGTGATTCAAAGAATCTGGGAAGTTTGTGACGCTAAGACTGTGGTCAAACCCTAATTACATATAGTGGCCAAAGACTCTCTGCTGTCTTAAAACTGCTTCATGCTACAAAAAGTAGTTCTTGAAATTCACTGTTGTCTGTTGTTTGATAAACTCTACAGATCCCTAGTTTGGAAATGAATGCAAACATGGATTTAACACAGCTGAAATCAGTTTACTGAAAAACATGAGCAAATATTCAGAATTGCTCTTTTCTCAATATTTGTCCCCATTTATGTATATGCTGCTGGAGTCTTGCCCTTTTTTTGTGAAAGTGAAGAACCTTTATTCAGCTACAGCATCATTAAATAGTCTAGGTAATTTTGTATGTTAAAGGTCTCTGATGAGTTAATAATTGAAAGCATATTCTAAACAAACAAACAAAAAGAAAAGCCCTGTGTCCTACCTCAAGAAGAACAGCCAGAACTGCCAGTCCATCTGCTTTGTCCATTGCTGCTGTTATATCTGGATATTTCTCAGAGTTATAGTGTACAATATGCAGCTACAAAGAAGGAGATACTGTATTATGGTAATGCCTGGGGCATGTTCCATTTCTGTTTCACAGTTAAAAAGGGCCACTGCAGTCACCTCAGGCTACGACAATACAATGGGACCCTGCAGTGATTTCTGGGTGTAGTGCTAAGATCTTTTTAACAAAAAGTCCTGGAACTCCTACTGCCAGCCCCACTGGAGCTGAGTCATGACCCTTGCTGTACATAATGGGGAGGGAAAGGGGTACAATCAGTTCAGCTTCAAGGCATCTTGACTGTAGTACTAGAATTTTTCTGAAAAATTAACACCTTATAACTCTTGGGACTCTCTGATGTTTAGAATGTAGAGCCCAGTGTTAAATGTAACTAGAGAAGAAACAGATTCCTTAAAGTGCTGTTATGTAAGCAAATTATTCTGATTGGTTTATCTTTTAATAATTTTGGGGTAAATATCTGACTGGTACTGCTTTTCAAAATCTATTCCCAAAGCCATAATTTTAGATTAGAAAAGATAAAAAATAGCTCTTCAATGGATGGAAGAAAGTGAGTAAAGGTAGACAGAGAGGCAGTGCTGTGCACCTAAAAGACATACCTGCTTTACAGAGAAGAACCAAGGTGTGAAATAGCTAGCAATTTGCTTGAAATTACTCAAGTGACCTAGTGGCAGCCCTGAGTTTAGAAACTAAATTCTGAACTCTCTGACTTGTGGCACATTCATAAAAGTACACTGGAGTCCATCCTTCTTGTGGTACACAGTGCATTTTTTTTGGTGCATATCTAAATCATAAATACCTTGATTAGAACCATGCAGCCTTTTACAGTTATATCCCAAAGTTAGAGATCACACTTTGAAACAGTGGGACCTGCCCAACTGTCTTTATTCTTGCACTTCTCTGAGCTTGTCTTACCTCTGCAGCAAAGTGCCTCCCACTGACTGTGTGCTCTGAGCCTTCTGACTTGTTTTTGTTTCCCCAGTGTAGGTGAAGCTGAGATGCAGTGTATTCAAACGGGAGGTTTCTGATGTACATAGTAGGTGACAGATACATTTTCACTGTAAGCAGACCAAAACCAGATGAGAGCAAATGATAACACAGCTTCCAGGCACAGGGCAAATAAATTACCATGTCTTAAGTGTATTACGTATGGAGCATAAACAAAGCAGATTCTTAAATCAAATCCATCTCTGTGGTAGGACATAAACATTTTAGTTGTCTTTAACCCCTTCTAGGCAATTCAGGAGAATTTAGAATACATGCTTTTTCCGTTTTCTTAAACTGAAGGAACTGAATATGAGATTTGCTGCTAATGGAAATCTTTCTTCTCCTTTTGCTTTCTCTCTGATGAATGCAAAATTCTCAGTCTTACTTAAGAGACAGTTATTGATACATTGAAGCCAAACTTCATGTGCTCATGTGCCTTCTTTCAGTCCCCTTATGTAATGGCTGAAAATGGCTTAATAAATTAATATTTCTCATGGTATTTTTAAACTCTTGTTATGTTGAACTCTTCTGCCTCTTAATCTTTTTTTGGGAGCATATGGCAAAACCAAATAAACTTCCCCATCTCCCTGCTCTTCCCAAAGCCTAGAGCATTGATGTCAAGCAGCAAGACGATCATAGGCCTTAAGAATTAGCATTTCCTCTGTTGACATACTGGAGGGAGATCTTTCTGTGCATTATCCTCTCTTCTGTTTAGTAATGCTCTACACTGTGGAGGACAGGCTGGGTTATTTTTGTGTGAGTGTGTAGAAGTTACAGTAGTAATCCTCAGCTCAGCAGACACTGAGTTGTTCACCTGAGCAGTTTGGTGCTTCTCTAAGCAACAGTTTATGTAAAGAGCACACTGGGTTTTTTGCAATTTATTTTTACTATTTTCCAGTGTGAAAATGCTTTGTTTCTGAAGTGTCCCAGACCTGTTTTACAGGAGAAACAAAGGCTCAAAATGTTAATGAAGGAACAGTTGCCAACCTATATACTATTATGCTAGTGTTAAAGAGCTTTTTTTGAGCTGTACTGTTCTCAGCCTAGCTGAAGCAGGTAATTGCATCTGGATTAGCTGGCTGGTGAAGCACATGAATTATCTGTAGGAATGACCAATACCACAATACTAGGCATTCTACTGATTTCCTCTCTAGCCACAAGAGAAGATAGCAGCAGATGGTGTAATGATTCACTCTAACAGAGGCTATATTTTCATTACTCAGAGCAATTATCTGAGTGAGGTTTCTAGAGTAGGTTGCATATCCCCAGCTTTCTAGGAGGGCACTGACCTTAGAAGTGGATTCTCATTTTTACTGAAGGGGATATATATTTTTCTCTTGGCTTTCATTAGGAAGTAGTTGAATGTCTTATTTTAGGAGCAAGATCTGACAATGTTAGTGAGATAGGCTCCACAAGGAATTGGTTTTTACCTGTGTGCCTCTTATGTGAGGGACATGTCAGTCTTACTTTTTTTTTCTCCAACTGGCACTGTTAAAGTCCACAATGACAATGGTTCCTTCTCTATTGCCTGTCACATCAGCCTAATACATTCAACTGTGACAGCACCCAAGAAAGGCTCCTAGGAAAAGAAGGTTCACAAGAAAAGAGTGTTCCAGCCATTCCTAGTCTAAAACAATCTGGTTTTGATGGAGAAAAGAGAAAAAACAGGAACCAACTGAAGAGAAGAATTAGTGAAGAATTGGTTTATGATTTCCTATGTTGCAGCTTTACCCCACTGAAAGAGTGAGTAAAAGAGAGGTGTTTGCTTGTTGGGCATCTTTTAATTAAGCATGCCAGAGAACAGCAGAGGACATTTTATACCACAGGTTCTTTTGATGCTTATGTAATAGAGGAGGATACAAAAAAGGAGGGCCTTTAAACTGGTCTTATTTCAGTTTTTAAATGTTTCAGAAAGGAACAAAAAATGGTGGGATTATCTCGCTGGTATTGTATATTTTGTCAATATAGTAGACCTTAGACCTTACAAGACTGCATCTTTTCTGTTTTTGCCTACTGTGCTACACTTTGATTTAGTCCTACAGTGGAGGGCACATTTATACACTATTTCTAATTGTTTTTGTCTCTCTTTTATTTATCACTAAAGGCGTTTCTGTCTCAAGTCAAAGAACAGAATGGTGTTTTAGCTTCTCCCCCTGCCCCAAGTGGCTTTGTTTAGACTGGAATGTCAGACACCCTTTGCAGCCATGTTTTATCAATTTATCTCTTTTAAAAATAATCACATAATCTGTTTCTGTTTTGGAGCAGTCCTACCAAATTCATAAGAAAAGCTCAGGAATTACTTCATACATGCCTCGAGTTTATTTAAAAACCACAGTGAATTCAGCTTACTGTGAATCCATCTGTTCTTAGCACTTCCCAGATTTCCCTGTTCTCTAGATGTAGCCATGCTGATGTGAAGACTTCATAATCACGGCTTAATTTTATGAAATAAAAAAAAAATGAACTGCAGCCCTCTTTCCTTCACAATCCCATGCTGTCATTGAGCTGCCTTACCTGAATGACCATTATTGGTCAGTGTAAACTGCTCAGTGGATGGCACATCATAGCCTATGAATTCTAAAGGCAAGAGATTAGAATCATACTGGAGAATATCCTTGTGGAAATCTATTGGTGATTGGAATACTCCTCCACAAAATGGGTATTTCTTTGGCCAGGCCTTTTCCCCATCAGGACCTGTTTAAATTGACAGAGAGACACACATTTGTCAAGCATTAACTCTGCAATTAATATAAAACCTCCTCTGTTCCAGCCTTCATCCAAAATTTTGAAAGGGAGCCTATTCTGAATTTTAAAGACTTTTTAAAAAAAACCTTAATTTCATCCTCTCATGTACTATTAGATAGCAAAGGGTCAAATGCCATAAAAAAATCTCACATAAAGACACTTTAATACTGTCCCTAGATTTTTTTACAGTCTCAACTGCTGTTGGCATTACACTTTTGGGGAGCTCCGTATTGTACAAGTGATCTGGCTGTATCTGGCAATATTGCAAAACCCACAGTGAAAAGCTAACTTGCAAAGATGGAAAGTGTTGTGATAATTTGACCTGCAGTAACTTGCTCAAACTCGGGTGTAGCTTTTCTTCATCCCCTAGGGAGGATCTAGAAAGAGTAGATAATATCAAGGCTTTTTAATTGTGCCTTTGATTTAATTATTAATACCTAGCAGCTGTTAACAAGCTGTAAGCTGAGACCATTTGGATTTAAATACCAAAAAAGGTATTTGCAATTTGTGTTTCTCCTTGAGTCTGAAGATTCATTGTGATTCTTTCTAAGGCAGGAAAGTCTTTTGGGATCACCCAGCCTGATCTGTATAACACAGGCCATGGGATTGATTTCTGCGTCAATGAGGCTGTACGTTTCAGAGAACTTACACCCTTCCTTTAAGCATTGCAGGTGAAAGATACTTCATAGGTGCCCAATGGATAATATACTCTCCTTGGCAGCTTGATTTTCACTGAGAGTTTGTCTAGCTTTCACTTTGTTTAGTGATTGATTTTAATCCTTTGCTTAGAAATTGAAGGGGCCTCCTAGTAGCACACTTTTGTTCCTCATTGAAGTACTTACAACATAGAGGACATAGTTTCTCACTTCTCTTAAACTCAATAGATTGAGTTCCTTGAGTCTTTGATTAGAAGGCTTCTTTTCCAAAAGTGTAATATTCCTTGTGACTTCTTTGAAGTCTCTCCAGTGTGTTACCATCTTCCATAAATAATGAATGTCAGAAACTAATCTTAGATCAGGACATCAGTGGCAATGCAAATTCATATATTTTCTGGATGAAAATTAACAGTCAGAAGAATATTATTAGAGGCTTTATATAAAAGACAGTTTCCCAGGATATGGATGGTGAACGTGTGACAGAATTGGCAAGTTCAGTTCTGGTGCTCAAAGACAGACTTCCTTGTTAAAGCTCTTCAAGGTTATTCAAGACAGGGTAGCACATGACATTGTTTGCAGTGTGGATACTGAGACTTAATCAGTGCTTTTCAGTATAAACAGGCCTTCATGTTAGTTTAACTTAAATCTTTTACTCCAGTTTCGTGCCAGCCACTTTAATTTCTCTCATTTCTTCATGGTACTATCTTGAAGTTATTGAAATTATATTTAAAAGCTAGTAAATGTTATGCTGCCATTAATAGAATACTGTATAGTATACATATTAAAAAAAGGCAAATAATAGATCCATCCAGAAGAGCTTAAATTCCATGCTATGGGATATACATACTCAATAATATTTCCTAGGAAAATAGACATCAGGGTATACCAGGAAAGGATATTTTCTTGAGGTTGAAACTTGATGCGCAAGACAATGACACTGATATGAAACAGTTTCCAGGGAGCTAAGACTACAACAGTGTCAGAAAAAATTATGAGAAGCCTTTATGATAAAAAGACTTCAGTAATTTTAAAAGGTTTGGGGTTTCTGTGCATGGATGAGATAGTGAGTTTGCAAGAAGACTTTAATATATTATGTATCATAGGTTTGGAAACTTGGTAATTAAATAAGTAATTTTTAATTGATATGTAAAATAGAAGTGTAGTCCCAGTCTGTTGAAACCATGTCATGAAGTACCACTTGCTTTTTTGGTATGATGTTTGGATGAATGGAATGCCCTTTAGAGTTGGCAACTGAGTTTGGGAACTTCCACACAAACATCAGCAGTTCAGAAGGCAAACTTTTGTCTTTTCTATAAAATGCTGTAGTTGTTGCAGTCTTTATGTACCTTGATCTTCCTAGCAGTTGTCCTTTCCCTGACATAAGTCTGCAACTCCACTTACAGGCCTCTAAGCTACAGCAGTTTTTGCTTTCTTTTTACTCCTGCTCAATTAAAAACAACAACCAAACTAGACAAAAAAACCTCTCTTGGTACAAAACCGGTTTTTCTATGAATTCTGCCACGTAGTCTTTCTAATTTCAGTGCCTCAAAGCTTCTGTCTCAAAGAGCTGAACTCGCTGCAGCTTGGGTTTGCATATGTGAAATTGAGATTTCCATGGTAGATAAATCACACAGCTGGAAGGCATTTCTCAGCTAGCTCTGTTGAAAATGAATGATTGATTGTGAACAAGATTTTCCTTTTTCTGTGCCAGCACATTCAGATAAATTCAGTGGAAATCACATTATGTTTACAAAAGCTCTGCCTGATAACTACTGAATAAAGAATAGCATGTGGATGTATTAAGATTGGCCTGTACTACAAGTCCCCAAAGGTATTGGCATAAAAAGTATTGCGAAAATATCTTAGCAGTTAATTTCCTCCTTTTGTGACAGTATTTGTGACAAAGAGAAAGACCCAGGCATCTCAAAGTATATTTGCTGCTATGAGGATCCTGTCAGGATTGTGTCACCAGAGCAATAATTGTGCCATGGGTCTGTCCTGCCCACCCAACACTACTCTTCAGCTGTCAGAGTGGGCACATTAAGGTACAGAGCTGTTGGCAGGGGTGGAAGTTGGACCCTTCCTGCTCCTATTGAGCCATGAACACTCTCTCCTGTAGGGAGTGCAAACTCAGGCTTCTCAAATCCTGCTTGTGGACTGCTTGCTTTTATGTGAGAGTCCAGGACTGTATTCCCCTACCTCTCTGTAAATAACTCTGAGCCTGGCTGTACCCTCCTGTCTATTTTATGAAAGATGTCTGTAAATAAAGTAGTAATAATTCTTTGGGTAGTCTTGCTGCTCAGCTGCACAGTGAGCTGAGCAAAGTACCCCGCAGCACCACGGCTGCATGTGCCCATTTTATCATCTCTGACAGCTTTTAGCTTTCCATAGCTAAGCTTTGAGTCAGCCCCCAGCCCTATTGCTGCTGGCTGATGCAGGACAGATGTTCTGTCAGGAACAAGAGTAGTGTCTGCTCTCACAATGTGTATATTGGCTGACTTAAAAAAAGAAAACAGGCCTATGAGACATTAGTGTTACCAACTGACTTTTGCTCTGATGACCAATTAATACTTATGTTGCTCAGGCTTCTCACAGGCTATCCAAGTCATCTTGATCTGAAGTAAACTAATGTAGTAAAATGCATTGAGTCAGTACCAGAGGGAATGTCTGTGGTATTTTTGCAGCCAGGCAGAGCACTCTGCACTGTTTTCAGCCAGCTGAAAGCTGCATAGCTGCCATCAGCCCAAGGCTGAATTAGTAGTGAAAGCTGAGAGTCCAGCCTTCCTGCCACAGTAATGTGACCTCTTGGTTTCCATTTCACTCTGATTGCAGGCAGAGCTCAGTCATACCATTCTGGGTACACATAGCCAATGTGTGTGTATCTTCAACATATGTGTCCAGAGGGAAGCTTGTGAGATAGAGATGCTGTCAAGGGCTGTAGCTGTCCCTGCTAATCCAGTCAAGTGCTGTATGAGAAATTTTGGGTATTTACTAGTGTATTCACTAAATCTGGCATTTCCTAAGGGGAAGTGGAGGGGTCTTAGCTCAGGTTCTCAGCAACTTACTGAAGTAGAGTATATGGCAACAGTAAAACTAAAGAGTTTGCAAATTCAGTCAGACTGATATCTGTTAACAACAGTTCATTGTGGTGTGAAGTTGTTGTCTTATATGCTAAAGCACATTCATTTTTTTGGCACTATTACTTTCAACTTGGCTGTAAAGCTATTTTTCTCCATCATAGCTGCTTGTCCACTCTCAAGGAGTGATTCTTGTTCTTTAACTTCATTCTAGCACTTTTACATTATAGAAGCAGAAAGCCAGAATACAAAGAATTTAAGCCACTCTCTCCAGTTCTACCAATTCTCTTCTGGGGCAGAGGATTTCAGGCCCACACTTACCAGCCACAAAGCAACATTGCCCAAAGCTGCATGCACATGATATAAGTGGCATCAGAACATATGTTTTCATTCTTTGAAAACACTTCTCATTATATACTACATCTTCTTTGTCCATTTTACAGAAGGTGAAGCAGCCTATCAGGGGACATGAAGGAACCCTGTGTCAGAGGGGCCTGTGTGTTCATGCCACAGCTCAATGGCCTCTGCTGCTTCTTCCAAACACTTTTTCTTGGGCTATATACAAGAGTAGTAAAATCAGAAAGAACAAATATCGTTGCTGCAGTTTGGCTAAGGAAGAGTCAAATAGAGGAGAGGTTTAGCCTTCGTATTTATTGTATCTAATGTAGTAGTTTCCATTTTTAGCCAAGCCGGATGTGCATTCCTTTGGAAAGCTTGTGCTGAAAAGACAAGGCCTGATCACATGCAGTGCCATCTTACTTTGCCACCATGCCATGAGCTTCTAGTGCTGTATCAACATTCAGTTGTACATGTTGTCCTACTGAACAAATAGAACTCACTGACAATCAGCACCTGGGTTTCTTATCCACCCTTGATCCTGTGTCTTGACATCAGTCTGCATTGTGATAATAATGGTTTGACTTCCTTTCCCTTCCTGTTAACTTAATTTTCGTGAGAGGCATTGCAAAGTGTTGCAGAGATTAAGGTAGATGGTGGAAGGTGTAGGCTGCACTAAGGAGCCAGGATCAGTAAGGCTATAGAGAGACTCTTTTCCAGCTGACTGCAGTCTCTCTAATTGCCTTTTTTCTCTATGCAGGCCAGTGTTTTACCTCTGCTTTTTTCTAGGCTTATGAAAGTATCTATTCCATACGAGTTCAATTACCACTTTAGTTTAAGTTGCTTTTAAATGTGTTTGTTTTTTTTTTTTTTTCTAGATACATTTGAAAATCAAAAGTTGAAAGCAAAAAATAAGAATCTGTTTTTTTTAATCTTTCCTCCATCTTCCAGCACACGGTAGAAATCAGACTGCAGTATGGAAGCACTTAACAGGAATTGATGAAGTTGGGCATTGTGAATAACATACTCTGAAATAAACACTGGAACCCAAATTCCCAGAAAGGGAGAAGTAACTAATTTAAAAAAGCATTATCCTGGGAAGGAGGGCAAAAATCCTTTGATTGCACTAAAAGTGAGTCTTGCTTTTCTTAATACCCAGTAGGGTTAGGTTCATCTGATGGCTGCTGCTGAGGTAGAAAACCTAAGCTTTTGTTATTCAAACTGTGTCAAGGTTTTTTTTCCTAATGAGAATGTAAAGTACATGTACACAAACTGCCAGAGTAATACTGAGAGACATGCAGTTGACAGGTGTCCCTTTGCTTATGTGATGCCAGTCAGGTAACCTGGAGTACAGCCAAAGGGAGTAGTTACTAGCAGGAAGTTCAGTCTCAGAGGTTCTTTATGTTGTCTTGAAGCAGCACCAAAGGCTTAAGAACAAGATTTTTTTTGCTGAGATTCTCAGTATTGCCTACTTCTTGATGGGCATGTGGCATATAAAACACTACTCTGAATGAGGAAATAACTGGCCAGAAAAATTTATGAATTGAAAGAAATCTCTAAAATAATTCTTCCTCAGCAGCCATCAAATCCTTCTGGGTTAGTTTCTGACTTAAAGGACTAGTGTACAAAACAACAGTGCTTTCCTGAGTGTTATTTATTCTTGCCTTGTCAGTGCTGGGATTTTCAGGGAGCTGTAACACGATACAGGTGACTTGCAGAACTCTGCTTAAAAATGAAGACCCATGTGGGTAGGGAGAGGTATGTTCTTTGCAGAACTAGGCTGAAATGTGCTGCTGGTCTGAGACTGGTTGGGAATGAGAGGGCTTTGGGGAGCCTCTGGAGTTGTAGGGCCAGTTTTAGTTTGCTGAAGTTCCTGTGATCCTGCAAGGCAAATTAGAACCCAGTAACTGTCTCTCAGTCACCCAGATACAAAACCTGATGGATGAATAAAAGATTTCAAGACAACAGGTGGGATCCAAACCTAGGTAAAGTTAGTGAACCCACTAGGTTCTCACCAGAATACAAGTGGCTTGTGTTTCTTAAAATACAGAACAAAGCCACAACTTAGTATGTATGAATTAGTTAGTACTTACCTATATAAGACCATTTTGACCCTGTTGAAAAACAAAGGAAATATTACTGTGAATATCTGAAATTGATCTTACTCTGTAAAGAAACAATTTGCCACTTAAATCCTGCTGCTGAACTTTGCAATACTTTTATGTGTCTTTTTAGCCCCAGATCTTGAGCAAAATGAAGACGCTTTCAAAGATTGTGCACCCTTCTCACCCAAATTATAATTATCCCTATGATCCTGCCCATAGGGCTTGACTCTCTTGTGGTCACTTAGATCCTGGAGCGAAACTTTTGCCACTGTGCTGGGTAATTTTTTGTGGAATCGCCACGGTCTCTGGATGTAGGTACATCTCTGATTTTTTTCCTGGTTAGGAAATTAAGGAATATAAAAGGTGTGTAGTTATAATGAACCTTCTCATGCCTAGTTGAGGAGTTTGTAGCCAGTTGCTACACTGAGAAATGATGGACAGTCATTTCTGTACAGCAGCTCTGGGATTTGCCAATGGAAACAGGTAGGAATAGATGGATTTTGAAGAACAGAGTATGACACACAAACCCATGTAACTCAGAGAATCCTGGGCACCTGAGTGAGTGTTAAAATGATCAATATTCATCCATTGCTTCAGGAACTAAACTTGGGACAGTGTCTCTGCATGTCTTGGGAAATGTTTTGAATGCTCTTTTTATTTATGTTTTTTTTGGCCCTGAGACCTACTTACAGTCATTTAGCCTGCTGTGTAATTGCAGGTGCTTGTCCTGGCAGACCTGAACAGTTTTGGCTATCAGGCTAATGCAGATCTTTCCTCTCTGCAAATGTAATTTTGTTTCTGCTTAGAAAACAGTCCTGAATTACGATTCCTGCAAACACTCTGTGTGCCTGTGCGTGCATGCATGCAGGCAAATATTGATCCTTGCATGCACATGTCTGCTTAGTATATGATTCTTGGCTGCATTTCTTGTGAAGTGTGGTCACAAATCCAGCTCCTCTCCAAAGAATGCTGTGTAAAATGTTTGGGATTAATTTCTAGGGATGTGCAAAACAGCTGCACTTAGCTCTTTTGAATTGATATGTGCTGGGAATACTAAGCTCTCTGCATCCAGTTTGTTAGGACCAGTGTGTCTTGTTCTTTTACACTGGAATTTTCAAAATGAGGTCTGTGTGGTGGTTCTGGCTGAAGTCCCCAGGTTCCTCGCTTAGGAGAATTCATGCACTGTCTTAGATTTCAATATGAGAAACCTCATTCATCTCTCCCCTTCTGTCTGCAGGGGTTTATCTCTTACTAAGTCTTTTTGGGGGTATCTGAGTCCTTTGGTCAATGCATTCTGTAGGTAGAACTTGCATGAAAATAGCAGCTGACCCTCAAGAGGTTTTAGAAGTCACCACATCCTCATCTAAGCAGGGTTTGAAGAAATACTGGCTCAACTACAATAGCTACTCTCTGCTTATGTTCTTACTGCCCGTTAAAATGTGTACAAAGTATTGAAACTATGTTCTTTATAATCTGGAACAACCTTAAAACAGTGAATTTCAAAGATCTCAAATATTTTTGGCATTTAATGTCAATTGAAACAAACAGAAATGAAAGTGTAAAGTCTTTTGCTAGGTGGAATTTTCCTTAGCTTGTGAGTATTTTGATGATCTGCAATTCACTGCTATTATGACTTCACTGATGAGCACAATAATAGCAACTACTGTAGGCAGGGCTGAGGCACATTTACCTCTAATTTCATCCAGTTTAGAACAGGAGATAAACAGATGTACAAATGGCAGTCTTCTTGGTTTTGTCAGAGTGAACGTGTAGAGCTGTAAAAATCATTGCTATTACCCTTACTCTGCTTGATAATGAAATGGGGATGAGGCAGATGGTCACACAGTCTCCCAAAGTGGAGGAGAGTCAACAGAGTTTCTGATTCACATCTAGAAGGGAAGTATCAACAGCTCCATACCTGTGAGAACTCTCTTGCCTCTTGGTTAATGTTGGGTGGGTGCTAATGAGTGAGGCAGTAACGTGCCCATGCATGGCAGGAGGGTTCCTAAAGCCTGTGTATCTGTGTTTTACTGGGCCCTGTCCAGGGAATTAATACATTTCCAATGTTACTTGGGAGCTGGGTAAGTGGGAATGGTTTTATTTGTGATAATCTACATTAGCTGTGTCTCTGATTTGGGAAGATGTCAGAGACTGGCAGATCCTGTAGCTCTTGCCATTTCTTGATACTTGGTGTCTAATTTTAAGGTAAGAATTCTCTGACATTCCCTTAACGGCATATAATGAAACATATATTTTTGACATATCCTTTAAATTACAAACATTCTGTGTTGTCAGAGAAAGCACCTAGAAAACACTAAGGTCCAGGAACCTCTGCCCTCCAGGTGGGAGATTCTGCTAGAGAATATAGCCATTTTTCAGGGATAATATGCCCAAAATAAGAAGATGACCTTAGAAGTTTGAATTCCACCCATTACGTAGCTCATGCAAAAACCCACTAAAAGCTTGTCTTGGCAGAGCTCTGTGTAAAGCTGACTGCTCTGGGTTATGCTTGAGCCTCTAGGATTCCATCCCATGAGTATACGTGCTGAGTACATCGTATCATGCAACCCTTTACAGAGATTCTCCCTCATATACTATAATCACAGTAGGTGGATTATAATTAGCTTGAATGGATGAAAATTGATTATAATCAGCTTGAATAGATGAACATTAACTCCTGAAATGAGAGTGAGGAGTGCTGACCTCCTGAAACTGGTCCTGTTTAAGATAATGAGGTGTAGTATATGGAGTGCTTCACAGGGATTGCATTCTTCTCTAGTTTAAAAATAAACAAGGCAGGGGGAAAGGTGTAATGTTTCCAGACTCTGAGGAGGGCCAGTCTCTGCTATTCTATGTCTCTTATTCTATGGGAAACAAAAGATCACAAAGCAAGGCATACTGAGCATGCAAGAAGTCTGTAACACAAACTAAATCAGAGGACAAATTTCATTTTCCTGTATATATCAGAATACCTATTCTGAGAAACTGAAATAAGGATACTAGCTCCAAGCAACTGCAGGCAGCAACAATATTCAACTTTGAGCATGCAATTGAAATAGTAATAATTAAAAGATGCCAGTTTTCTGCATATATTAACTGCCCTAAGTCAGAAGTGACAATAAAATAGAAAGCTGAAAGACTTTACCATTCAACGGCGCTTGCATTGAGAGTTGTATCTTTAGGAAGAAAATATGCACAGTAGCAACTGTGACTATACTGAAGCTCTTGGCTGACATCTCAAGGAAAGACTTAAAATATTCCAACAGTTCACAGGTTTCCCTGTACTCTGAAGAAACTCCCTTATAAATAGGTAGCAAATAGCAGAATGCACACATACAGAGCTTCTGCTAATGAGTTATTGCCCTTCTCTTCCCTTGTCTTTCTCCTTCCTTTTCGGACTGCTTTTTATAAAGCTCCTGAGACTCAACCCAAAACAAATGATGTAATCAGACCTGCCTCTAGGTCACAGCACCCTCAGAAAACTGATCATATCCTTCATTATCTCAATTTTAGTGAGCTTCTCACAGGGCAGACTCCAGCACATGGAAAAGGAATTTAAATGTAGAACTGCAGAAATTATGAAGCAGAAACACAAATGTTTAAAAATGCTGTCCTCTTATGTGCCATACTACAGTAGAGCTTTTCTAGACTATTTCAGAGTGTCTCATTCAACTCCCATTTTTGGATCAGTGTGAACTAGCATAATGGGCCACTGTGAGCACTGGAGGGAGGGCAGGAGAAGTGAAGCTCTGTGTAGGACTGTCAATAAGTCAGAGGGACCATGGACACTAGCCATGAAAACCATCAAGCTTGTCAGGAAGGGATTTTTTTTTAAGATGAAAGCTCTTGGCACCAGAAGAACACATGAAGCAGGGAGGAGCGAAAGTTCATTAAGAAAGAACCCAGATCCTGGTGTTATGTTCAGGACATGTATGGAGAGGTGATAAAAAGAAACACAGAATATGAATTAATGTCCTCTTCTGAAGGGAATTGAGATCAACTCTTAAACTCAGTGCACCATGGCTAGCTGAGGAGTGGAAGGTGGGATTGAAGAGGCTGTTTGGTTTAGTTGAGTACATTATTATTTCTAATTATTATAAATTGCTTATTCTATTACAGTTAACACCTTTGTAGCATGTATTAGTTTTGATTAGTTAAACTTTATTTTCAGCATCTTTATCAACTGCTATTTAATTGCTTAATGTTTTTAGGCTTGCTTTTTTTACTGTGATATATGAGTTGACTGGACCATGGCTCTTCTGCCTAGATCTGAGATAGAGACCTGCTGCAGAGCATGATTCAGGCCTATTGCTACTGTTAACCTGCAGCCCTACCCTCCCAAGCTAGGCAGAAGCAGGACGCAGAGAGCAGGAACAACGAATTCATGTCTTGTAGCCTTTTAGAAAGTAGTTGTCATTGAGTATGGTTCCTTTCTCATGCTTCTTAGGATTTTGTGTATCTAGATTGTAATTCTGCTTGGTTTGATTCAGCTGTGCAATCTAGAGGGAGAGGGTGTGAACTACAGTAAAGTGACACTATCCAAAAAAGAACCATACTGCCTATGATGTTTGTACAGAGGGGCATGCTGAGTTTGTTGAAGCATGTGGGCTATCAGCACACTGTTGGTGCATGCAGGACCTTCCCTAACCTGCTGTAAGTCTGGATATGTAATTTTGTAGGTTTCTGTAGAATAAACTGTTTTGTCATTACCTTCACATAATTGGCAGCCTGTCTGACAAGCTGCTAAAGCTGGTATCAATTACAGTTGAAAATTAACTCCTCTACAAAAGACCCTGTTGTGTAGGAGGGTGTGGACTATCTGCCAGACTGTGCTTTCATACCTTCTTCCTTCTTGTTTGCCAGGGTTTTTGAAATGTTCGCTGTGCTGAGGTGTGCCCTGATTGATTCTTAAGAGTCTCCCTCAGTTCTTTTTTTGCATTTCCACAATCTATGTCTCCTTCCCCAATTTCTGCTATAGTTTGGCTTCATATCCCTAGGAGGAATTCCAGGCAGTGCTTGAGCTTTCAGGGCTAGGTGGATAGAAAGCTTTTGGCTTGCAAATTACAAGCTAAAGAAATAGGAAAAAAACCCAACACCTCCCTTCATCCTGGAAATGCCCTTTACTGTGATCACAGTAGGTATGAGAATGAGACACAGGAAAAAATAAATGAAAAATGTAGGTAACAAGTGATGCTCTCACCATTTGTAATAAGTCATTAGAACTTTAATGACTACATAATATAGTAAATAGGTTGCATAGGTCTTTTTGTGAAAGTTGTTCATATTGTAAATGAGCCAGAATAGGCGTTTTTCTAAAGCAATATGGAGAAAGTTAAATTAACTCTATTAGTTAATTAGCCGTATTTCTGACATGCAAATTATGAAATTTATGCAATAAATTGAGCCCTGCCATTGTCAGAAAGCACACTGCACAATGGTGACGTCAAGAATTTTGGAAAAAGGAAATTAAGCCAATTGCAACAACCCCAGATTGCAAGACATTAGAAATACTCCCTGTATCTTCATTATTGCTTTGGCCTTGATTTCACAGTTTTGACAGCATCATCCAACATATGCTCAGACAAAATGTCTTTTTTTTGTCTTCACTGTGTTTTTCCCATGGAATAAATGTTGTACAGACATTACCGTATATACCTTGTTCTATCTTGTGCTTGGTTTCTGCAAATGAATTCCTAGAGGGCTTCCCATGCTAGAGCATGGGAAAGGATCGTATCATCCCAGTTATGCAGGAATTAGCCCAGTTAGGCTGGACTTGATGATCTTAAAGGTCTCTTCTAGCCTTGGTGATTCTGTGAATCAAATGAAGAGTTATCTTCTCTAGCAGGAAATCAGATTGGGAATGTGGGCTTTCAGATATTTTTCAAGAAGCGTTAACACATGAGTTGATAAGCAGGCATGTGCAAGTTAATTTTTTAGTGCCTGTTAGACTTCTCTGTAAAGTTAATGGGGATATTTTTTTGCTTATCTTATTGCAAACTACTTAGCCTGGATGCTGATCAGTCAATATGTACAAATGACACTATTAAATATTTTACTCTCCCTGCCCAGTAAATGGATGAGATGAGGCCTTCTCAGAAGTCAGTACATTTGGAGTTTTAACTTTCAAATTTTCTGATGATTTGAGTGACCACCCTAACTGCCTCTTCCTCATGTCTTTAGCTTCAGCGATGAAGCTGAAATAAAATGGTAAAAAAAGGCTTTGATGTGAGCAGTGTTAAAGGTCAATGGAGATGCTTATATTACCTGGCTACTTTTCTTTAAAAAACATATTGGCAAACATACGGATACGTGTCCATAACAAACAGACTCTGTGGAGTATGTGTGCTGTAAACAGAAAACAGACAAGGTTAGGATGATGACCCCTGCCACCACATGAAAAGCACAAATGGTGTCTTATGTGATGAAAGGTTACCAAGTAAAACTCTATGAAATAATAAAAGAATCTCAAAGGCAAAACCTCCTCTGTGGTCGCTGCCGTGACTAAGAGGGTTCCTCTGTACTCATTTAAAAACATGTTGAGAGTTTGCATGTGTGTAGGGGGATGAGAAAGGATCCATGCAAGGTGGCAACAAACCAGAAGAAATTTCCAGTGAAAGTTTCCAGAAAACCTAAAATTTGAATTCATGGTGCTCTCAGGTGGGCTTTATATAACAACTAAATAATAGGTATACACTTGTGAGTCACTATATTTGTCCTGTTTGCTCACATTGGAAAGCCCAAAAGTGTGGTTAAAAAAAGGCTCAAGCAAACAAGTCAAGAAGCAGAGTACAGCAAACTGAGGCACTCTGCTAAAGTTGGAACACAGCTTTCTCCTCTTTGCTTTGCATTCCTGGATCCTTCCAGAAATACTACTTAGAATAACAGGATCATTTTTGTTGCTGGCCTCTGCTTTGTCTGATGCATTCACCACACATGGTCATGGTGTTGGCTCAAGAGGTTAAATGTGAAACGCTGAAGGAGTGGCCAGACAGAAGTCTAGCTATAGGAATGACAGAGGCATTCAGATACTTATGTGGTCAGTTCTGGCCTGGTCTAGGTTCTAACCTGGCAAGGTAAAGGGATTTATCTGGACAGGGTACCAGGAGTCCCCATGCAGGATTTCAGTTTCTGACTGCATGACTGACTTCCTTCTGCCTTATTTCTATGCCTACACCTTTGTAAATATTTGTAGGTGCTGCATACTTCCCACATTGCAGCCTGCCAGACCCATAAGCAGTATGAACTGGAGAAGTTTGGAAAGATGGCTTCACAGCTCTGTTTCCTCCTTTCACTGGTGCAGTTGTGTTCCTTGCTCTGAGCGTAGAGGTTCATTGCAGCTGATGCTTCTGCACAGAGGATTAATGCAAGTGTATGGCTGGCTGGAGTCAGACCAGAAGTCCTTTCATTTCTCTTGGAGTGTCTACATGGCTAAGGGATGTTATGTGCTCATTAACTTCCATGCAACTCTACTTCTTCTATTACAAAACAAAACCAAATAAGTAAGCCAAGTCTGCTTGTTACTGGGGGGGGAAAAAAAAAAAGAAAGAAAAACAAAGCCAAAATCCCTTTACAAGCTTTTTCCAAAATATCTTTAAGCTGTCTGGAATGACTCAATGATGTCTGTTACACATCAAGACATCTAAAGGTATACTTTAAAATAAAACCAGAGAGATGACTATTAAGTCGTCTTCAGCCTTAGCTCCAGATGTATTTATGGCTTAGTGTTCTGGGTTGAGACTGTTCTAAATCAACAGGAGAACCTATGCTTAAGCAACTAAAGGATGGTTAAAATAGCCATCTCCTCATGTTGGGCTTGCAGAATGAGCTCTGCTTGTGCAGAAACTCAAGGCAAGCTGTGCTCCAAGCAGTATTTTATTAGCTTTTCAGGCATGAAAAACTTTCTTGGTTTGTCTTGCTGGTAAACACTTTACCAGTCATATGTTGGCTTTAAAAGCCAATGTGAAAGAAGTCAGTGTTTTCAGAAATGTAAATCTCTTAATAGAGACTGCAAAAGCCAGGGAATTAGGGGTGGGGGAAGGGAGAGGGAAGTAGTGACCAGTTCTTTGCATGAAGACATAAAAAATGGCTATGTTTTAAATTAAATTAACTCTGCTTATATAGATCAATAATATATTAAAAAAATCTTTAAAAACACTTAACTGTCATCCAAGAATGCAGAGAGCCCACATACTCCCTTTGAGAGGGCAATGCACCAGTGGTGCATCTGCTGGTTTGAAACTTCCCCACAAGAGGAAGCCCTGGAACTTGAGGATGTTGGAGTTCTCCCACCAGCTTGTTTACTGCAGCAGTTGTGTCCAGAGCTGCAATGTGGTGTTTCATATTTAGGGATAACCATATTATCATAGCAAGTAGGGTAAAA